TTGTAATGGAACGTTTGTTCACGGCACAGAATTCTACAATTTTTCTGTTTTCACAGTGTAGAATTCTGTGGTTTAGGGTGAACGCAAAATTTGGTGAACGCGCACCGGGTGAGAATAGCCACAAGACTCGCCTGTACTATTCTGATTCTCACTCCGGGTGAGAATAGAGGTGGCCAAATTTTATATAAACAAGCAGTCAACGGACGGTATTAGTCAACCACTCACTCTGCAGACTCAATTTCCACTGCCATTTTGCTTCAGACTAGATCTATCTAGATGCAAAGCAAATCGTTTCCAACGTCTGGATCTCTTCTCTGTGTCATACAGAGACAACAACACAGTTGCAAATCTAGCAATGCCTCGGCTCGGCTGGCTTTCAAGTTCCGTCCGGAGTGCTCTATCTTTGCTCTCCTGGTATAAGAAACATAAACAGTCTTTTACATTGGGGGATTTTAATAGTGGTCTGGATTGTTTCCCAGCTTTAATAAATAAACAAAAAAAATCTAGAGACGTTCAAATAAATACTAATCTATATGATATTGGTAATTCAGTATTGAATATTTCTACTTATGTTACAAAAATATGTTTTATAGATAATAATTGTTGCAATTATATTCATCTATGCCGTGCAGATGATCTTTTTTCTACTTCCGCCAACATGGCCGCCTCCATGTACCGTTTACCCTCTGCTAAGCACAACACACTGCACACAGTCGTTGCTGTAACTTATCAGTTATCTAACTTATCTGTGATGCAAAAATGAACGAATGATGAGCCATTCCTAAGACTACTTCTTAGAAACATTGTAACAAGCAACACAGTGAGATCTGAGAATGTCAGAGAATGGGAGAGTAGATTCGCCGACCAACAACAACACTCACTCTCTGAGACTGAGTCTTGAGTTGTCTCAGCCCAGCAGACTCAACGCACGGCATTATATTATCTGCGCCTGCTGAAATCTTGAAAATTTCTGGACTAAATCTATAACTAGAGTAAGAGACCAATCTTTTTTTAGTGCCCTATGTCATGCTCAGGCTTTGTTTAGCAATTTTTATGTTACTTTCACGCACTTGTCTCATGTTCAGAATATGTTGGGCGCGATCTATCAATCGCGCTGGGCATTTGGTTGATCGAGGAAACGCCGGACAATCCATCGATTGTTGCGCATTCTGTTGATCAGCGGATCGCGCAGCACTTTTTGTTGATCCGTTTGGTTGCGCATTCTATAGATCTTACCCTTGAGTTTTGTTATGTTTTGTTGTCGTCCAGTGTGTAATTTAGTTTCACTCTCCAAAGTCAAACCGAAACTGAATGGAAGTAACTGGAAGTCAGGATTACAATAACGAACTAATCAAAGTGACTATTTCAGTCCAAATAGACAAAAATTATATTCGGACTCTGATTTGAGTCCAGTATGATGTCCGTTCCGATTTCCGACCTTTGTTTCTAGATCTATATATTTCCAGCATTTATTAACATTTTTTTCTATTATAATGATAACAATTGAGACGTGAGCTTTTATATCCAGTTACTAGATCTATCTAAACTGGTCCCCCCTGCGTCATTAGTATGAACAAAACTAAGTTGAGCCGGGGGCAAAGTTAATTAATTATGTCGACCAATGAGACTACGTGTAGCGATATCACACTCTCGGCTTATGGAGGAAGAGGTGTTGGGAAGAGGTCATGGCTGTCGATTTTGTGCGATCTGATTAAAAAAGAAAATTACAGAAAAACTCAACACTCAACAAAATCAAATTAAACATGAAAGACAAATGGTGATGGAAGTAATTTATTATATATGATGCTGTAGTGGTGGTGGAAAGACCCTGAGTTGTCGGTTTCCGTGTACTTAGACATTGCTATTGGGTAAATCTAATGAGAGTGCAATCAGGGTTAGGCCTATAGGTCTGTGAGTATCACTCACTGACGTGCTCAGTAAACCAATTTTCTTTTTTTTTAAATTCACTTCATCATCATAGTTTATCGACAGAATGCGCAGTAAGTATGTAATATTTCATGGATCGACAAAAAGCGCTGCGTGATCCGCTGATCAACAGAATGCACAACAATCGATGGATTGTCGCGCGTTTCCTCGATCAACCAAATGTGCTGCGTGGTCGATGGATCGCGCAAATCGACAGATCTAGTCAACTGGTGAGGGAAGCCCCAGAAGACGATAAAAGTAGATGGTGGAAATATATATATTTGGGCCAATCGCAGAGGTGTGCAAGGTGCTCGCTGCAGCTTCATGTATTATTTTCGCAGTATCTATTCGGAGACGTCTCCGACGGAGAGAAACCAATCAAAATAGTTTGTGCCTCCAGACCAAGTAAAAAAATCTGTATTAACCCGTAATTTGATATTTTGCTGTTAGGTTTGAAATTTTCTTGAAAATAATTGATTTGCGACCGTTTTAGTGACTGTGTGATCTGCAACAAATGATACTCAATTTGATCCCCCCTCCCAAAGCAGTGCATCTATGTACGGGAGTGCGTCTCCGAATAGTTCCTGGGTGCTTGTCGGAGACGTCTCTGAATATCTTATGCCGTTATTTTACATGATCATGAACGTCACAAAAAGAAAGAAGTGTAACAGAGTCTTTCAAAGTAAAGTAAGATTTTATTGTACTTTTTTTGGTGTTTGGTTTGATGTTTTCATTCAAACGATTTTACAGTGGGCTTAATTGTGTGTATCAAAATGATTAATATTTCGTATGTTTTTAAAAAATCGTTTGGACTTGGAGGAGGGGGGAGCACATTGTGATTTTTTAGAATATTCAAACTGTATGCATAGGCTTGAACTTTGTTTTATCCTAGGTCTATGTTATATTATGATCCCAAATCTGAACCAGAGCTTCCAAAATATTCGGAATGGACCTTTTCGCAGGAGTCTGGATCTTGATTTCCTGAAGCCTGACTCTGTTTGAGTTTCTCAAGTTCTCTTTATTCAACCTTTTCCTAAAAGCTATTACTTTATTCTATCTCAGTTTGGTAGTTTCTGTACCTCATTTCTTCTTCTTCATTCTTTGTGACTAACAGTCAATCAGTGGTGCACATGAGTATGACGTTTTACAGAAAACTCTCAAATACCCCTGAAAACTCCCGAATACTCATGAAGTACCTAAAAAAAACAACATATAAAAAAGAAATTTATTAGGCATTGGTCACCTCATGTTACTGTATGCTGTTCAGATCTTTATTAATACTGCATAAAAATAAAAGTCCATAAAAGCTTTGTGTTTAAGAACCTTGTGTTTATTTGGTTGGTAGGACATGATCTTAGATCTAGATTCCAGATCTCATTTAGATAGATAAATTAAAGAAGATGTACAACCTTTTTTTTATCCGAAGGTTCTAAGATCCCCTAGATGAAAAGCCAACAAGTTATGTCTTGATCTCATTTTAGTCTCTTTGATGCCATACTGACTAAAGAAATGGTGTCAAATTCTAAGATATTACACTAGACTGTCAATACACGCTGTGCAAAAAAAGACTGATTCGTTCAAATGCACACCTGTGTCATCTTGATGGTTTGCCACAAAGATGTATCGCTGTGTAGAGCCTAGCATGGTAACTTTTGATTCCATAGACCAGTGCACAATTCTTTGCGTAGATCTACGTCAAGACTAGTTTTGATATCATTGTAATAATGATCAGTTGCCGGGGGGGGGGCTGTGACGTGATTGTATCTGCGACCTTCCACACCTGGACAGCTGGTATGCCACCACCACCACCACCACCCCCCCCCCCTCCGACACATGCACTGAAAGAAGGCCGCTGATTGGTCGCATGCAATCGGCTAAGCGAATAATGGTTCACGATGCAGGTGCAATGGATGGTTTCCAGGAATAGATAAAGTTCATTGTGGGAGACAAATGAGAGAAGCCACGTCAGTAGGGGCTGTTCACCCTGGAACCGACTTCGTTGAATCCGAGCTTGCTGATGTAAGTGGTCGTTGAATCTGGATTTAAACAAATTGATTTTAAAGAAGGACAAAAAAGGGGGGAGTCCATCTTCTGTCACTGAAACCAAGTTCTCGTTGAATCCAAGCTTGTTGAATCCGAGTTCCACTGTATATTATATCAATATCTATCTTTTAAAAAACTTACCGGTGAATCCAGCTGAGTGAGGCAGGTGGAGCATTCTATAGAATTGCTTCCACAGTTTCTGCTACAAATTGCATAGAGATAGGCATAGCTACAATGAGAAAAGATACAATCAGAGACAGATCAAGAGGGAATCGGTTAGTCAAGTATCAAGTAAACTATCGCCTCGTATGAGCCACTGAACTCTGAACCTGAATTCACAAGTCAGTATGCATGCTCAGTGATGAGTTTTCGGTATTTCAGTGGTTTTTGGGAGTTTCAAGGGGTTTTCGGTAAAACATCAAACCAGTGCGAACAAACTGTGCAGTTCTCTGTAGATCGACCTTGACTATCAGATCTAATCCTTACTTTATACTATACATTATAGATACATGATGCATCTAATGCTAAAATCCGGATTAGGACCTGCCTTTTTTTTTTTACTTTTAAGTTCTTTTGTGTTTTAGTGGTCATCATCTTGATTCCCTGCATTTTTAAAATGGTTCAGTGTTTTTTTCTCACTTGAGTTGTATTGCTTTTTGTTTCCAGGTGTACCGCTTTGTATGAGAAGAGAAGTCTCACAACATGAAAGGACTAAAGGCTTTTAGTGGAATGCTGAAGCCATCCAAGCATTTGTACTATTTCTGCTGTTCCCGACATTTTGCCTGTCTGCACAAGACCACTACTTTGTTAGGGAGTGACAGGGAACTACTGTACAAATGTTATGTTCAGTCTCAGTTATATCATAAACAACAAGTTATACTTTTCAGTACACTGGGACGAATGAGGAACGATTGGTCAGGAAAAAAAGAACGGGAGATTTTGCCTGAAAAATATTTGTTGTCTCAGCTGTGGTTATCTTGTGTACCAGTCAAAGTTTTTAGCACTCTCAGCCAAACCATTATCTGTGATGTGAGCCGAGACATCGATCGGAAGAAGTTGTGGAAGTCGAAACACTTGCAGAACAGTGCACGATGTGAAAATGTATCCTTTCAAAGACAGCTTGATGTACTTCTGGAACAAAAATGCTTGATGACGTCTTACAAAGGAGGCTCAAAATCATTCAACTGGAGCAAAGTTTTTTGTTCAGTGAAGGATATGCTGTTCCGGTAACAGTAATGATTATATTGATCTGTGTGTGTGTGTGTGTGTGTGTGTGTGTGTGTGTGTGTGTGTGTGTGTGTGTGTGTGTGTGTGTGTGTGTGTGTGTGCACATGTACACTTTTTGCACAACCTGTATTGTAATGTGTGAAAATGAGATAAATTGAGAATACTTTATTATTGATCTTCCAGTGAAAGAGAATGGCACTGCCTTATCAAATCGTGAAATTGTGTGCAGAGTCGAATATAACTTAATATGTAAGTGCAAACCTTTGTACGGACATATTCAGTCAAGTACACTCTGATCTCTCCTTCTCTCCCTCCCTCCCCCCCTCTCTCCCCTCTCTCTCTCTCTCTCTCTCTCTCTCTCTCTCTCTCTCTCTCTCTCTCTCTCTCTCTCTCTCTCTCCCTCCCTCCCTCCCTCCCTCTCTCTCTCTCTCCTTCTCTCCCTCCCTCTCTCTCTCTCTCCCAGGCAGTTTTAGTAATAAATGTAAATTTGCTTTTTATGTGGAAAATGAGGATGGTGTAACAGCTTCTTCAGACTATGAGTATAAGGTACATCAGCCTACAACACGGAAGATAGAACAGATTTTGGTTATCATTCTAAAATTGTTTTTAGAAAGACTGGCCCTTTGCTCTACCCTGAACATTTCATTTGCTAGTACATTTTGTGATAGTGATTGAGCAAAATAAGTGTGATGCCCATGATTTAGTCATCAGTCGGACAGTCCTTAAAGCAAAAATGTGAAAGCAACTCTCAGACTTAGGACAAGTAGTTAGTTTTAGTTTTCATAGAGGTTTTACGGCGCTCGCAACTGCATAAGGTCATATGAGCGCCGGACAAGTAGTGGAAGGAATGAAACAGGGTTAAAGGATGCAATGTTATTTTAGGAGGAAAAATATGAAGCTCAAAGGGACGGGTAGGTTAGGCTCAGTAGTCCAGTGTTGTCTAAGGAGGTATACAATGAGATTCATTAATGAAAGATTCCAAGTCTAAGATGAGAGAAAGGTGGGTACGAATAGACATTTCGATTATGCCACTATTTTAATTTTAAGAAATGTGCTAAATTTGTAAATGGAAACCATTGACTTGATTACTTGTGAAATAGACTATGGATATTTTATAATATATCTAGATCTATATACTTATACAAATTTCTTGCATGAGGGTATCATTATAGCAGACTTTGTTTTTAATTCTAGTCCCCAGAAAGTATGAGCCACAAAAGATGGTTGGAAGCAATGACTTTTAGCACTATGGATGAAAGACTGGAGTATTATTTAAGCTTAGAGACAGATAAAGGCAATGAGGAAAAGGTTCAAGACTTCAATGGTCAGTTTACATCTGATCGTACTGAAGGCTCTGCTAGGAAGGATCATATCAGTAATGCTGCTCTCTCTGTTCCTGCCAAAGAACCCAACAACAGTATCAGCCATTCAGATGAGCAGTAAGTACAGAGAGCCTCACATTCAACTAAATCATCAGGTTGGTCTAACAGTTTTGGTGAATCAGAGGTTTCAGTGAAAGTAAAAGGTCTAACAATTAACATTAGCTTATGATGGGTAATTATGCCAGGTTCTGGATAGATGTCCTCTTTTTATTTCTTTGCTAATTTTCTTCAACTTCCTCAATCAAATGCCGTTCACTTTCAAATAAAAGAGTAGTTTTTTTTCCCCAACTCTCGCAGACGTTTAAGATTAGCCAAGAGTAGGGGCCTACAGGTAATATGCAGAGAACTGAATGTACAATGTGAGGTGAGCATTCAAGTAGGGGCACTTGTCTATTCAATTTTGGTTAGTTCTCTTTCAAATTTTAGTTTACTAATCACCTAATTGATGTTCTCATGCTTACTTTTGTATTTGTATCAAAACTGAACACACTCTGTATCAAAAGTGAACACACTCAGTGACCTCGCATTCTCTCTTACACACTCTTACACACGCTTACACACACACACACACACTCACACACACACACACACACACACACACACACACACACACACACACACTCACACACACATTTGTGGCCTCCACCAATGCCCTGTGGCTGGGTCTTTTTCCGAATATCTTTTACTATAGGATGGCATGGGCTGATCTAGGCACCCATATATAGGCTTAGATTGATTCAAACTTTCTTACCTTTCATTATCTTCATCACTTCTCCAAAGTGAAATCTATGACACTGAAGCTTTCGCACAACTGGTAGCCCCAGCGCTATAATTTTGTCCTAAGAGCACTTATCTATAAAGTGCTCTTTGGACAAAATAGTTCTGAGGCAACAAACTGGTAGTCATTTACACTGCCCGGCACTCTAACATCCCCCTCCCATATATCTTTCTGTGTACTTTCGCACTTTTTGTGCCTGTACTTTTTCACCTGCACAGTATGACCTAATCTGATCCAGGCAGACACTTTGTTATTAATGATGTCACTGTATGTGTGTTTGAAATGCACGTCTCACTCTGTATCTTTGAAAATGGTGAAATGGTATAAGTTTAACACCCCTATCAATCGGTGTCTTCGAAAGAAAGCTTTTAACAGGTCAAACAGAACAGTATCTGATAGTAGTAGGGATAAGTCTCAGTCTCAACACAGTATAATATGATGTGAAACCTATGCAGTGATTCATATGTTTGCCATTCATCAGATGTTTGGAGTAGAGTTGGTAGGATTTCCTTCTTTTTTAGTAAGTACTTCTATAGTACTAATGACTAATGTTTCACTTAGTATTAAGGCCATACAAGTTGTATATGTGCCTTCCTGGAGAACTATATGACAAATTATGCATGGTGTAGATATTAAATATCAATCTTAATGGGACTTTTTGGGTTGTGTTGCAAATTATGCATGGTGTAGATATAAATATCAATCTTAATGGGATTTCTTTGGCTGTATTATTAAGACTACTCATACTCTGGGCAGGTGGTTGGAGGGCACCACTGGCTGGTCTTACTTCTTCTCTTTCCCTCCGTTGTTTCTGTTCCTTTCTTTTGCTTTTTCCCTGCTCTATATGAGCATTATTGTGTTGATGTGCTTCTTTTTACTAAAACTCAAACTCATACTCTGCACAGATTGTGTGATGAGAGACTACAGAGTGCCATGCAGGGTGGAATTCCTTTGATGATAGACATGGACTATGTTGGACACATGTCGTGTCAAGAACTGGATGCGTGTGGAGAGCAGCTATGGTTGGCATATTGCAATAATCGCCAGCATATCAACCCTTTCCATCTGGTACTGTCTGGATGCAAGCCTGATAATGCTTCATATAGGTTGGTTTCTATATATTGTGTCATAATTTGTTAATGCATCTCAACCTTTTAATATCCACCTAACAACAAACTTTATTTAAAATCCAGTTTCTCAAATACAGTAGTCTCCGCCTAAGATCCCACCGCTTACAATCCCGGTTCGCTTAAGATCCCGCTGTTTTAAGAAAACAGAATTTTTGCTATACAAAAGTCACCCCTAAGATCCCGCTCTGATTCACTCTGAAGGTCTACATTCGGCTAAGATCCCGCATTTCAGATCATAATTTGCGGAACAAAAACCCGGGCGGGCACAGCCGATCAACCAAGAGTGAAAAGTTGAGATCAATAAACTCCCCCCCTAAACTTACATCACTCGCTGGGTGGAAAGGGCCTACACGTTCGTTCCAGGCGGGATCACATCGAACCATGAACTTTTCCCTGACCATTGCAGTATGTGTTGATTGCAGCAGTTGTCTCTAAGCCAGAATTTGCTAGACAGACTGAATTTTAATTGGTGTGTTCACGACGTAATGGTGTGTAACGACAAAGGCGTTTGGGGAGGGGGTTAGCTCAGTCTGAGATGGAAAGCTATAAATTTTCTACAGGTAAGAGGGAGGGGCAACTGAATAAGCGTAGATCTTGAGACTCATGATAAGATAATACGTGAAAATGGCACGTCTCATCCCACTATGCACTGTGATAGGCCATCAAGGTTAACCACTCATTGCTCTCCATACGTCACAAACCAACCAAGGGGTCACGTCAGTTCATTTTAGGGTGGAGGGAGACCATTTTACCGATTGTAAGCCTTAACATGGGTCCCCATAGATTCTTCCCTGGGATCGTCGGTTAAGATCTCGGTTCGCCTAAGATCCCGTATTTCTTTGCTCCCGAGCACCGGGATCTTAGGCGGAGATTACTGTACAGTATAACACAGATAACTCAAATTCGTCGGAACCAGCCTCAGTAGTTTGAGGAATCCGTAGTTCGAGGGATATCTTACAAAGAAAAAGAGAAAAAAAGGGACCGCAGGCACAGTTTGACAGTGCGTGATTTCAAGTCTTCTGTGTACGACCTGTCCGTGTTATACTGTATTTGACTGTCTTTAACGTCATGTTGCTTTTCGTTTACAAAGATTTTCATATCTTATCCGATCCTCTTTTCTTTAGTTTAGACTTGCTTACATGTTTTTGTCTCTCTCAACTCAACTCTAGTTTGTATTTCTTCTAACTTCCGCAGTACATAGCATGTTATAGTATAGTGGTGATTCTCATATTATGTCCAACTGGTCTTGTGAGTTCTGCACAAAACTATTAAATGTCTCTACATTGCAGTATTCTGTATAATATATACCGGTATATGGATTTTGTACCTAGGAAAATTAGCTACGTAATATGGTCAGATCATTAGCTGTAACTTAAAATTAACAACACTGTTACTGCGACATTTTTAATTTGTCCCAATGTTCTTCATTGTGTTTGTAATTTATAGCTCACACATTTTGCCCCTTTTTTCTTTTATGAAAAGGTACATGGAGTTATTGCACCAGGGAAACAAACCTCACTTCTTTGCCACAGTCACAGAGAAAAGTCCTGTGGATCTACGTCCAGCTTCAGAGTTGGTCTACCTCAGCTCAAAGGCCAAAGAGGTCTGTCTACATCAATACAACTTTTCATTTCCCTTTGTCAGGATCCATACTTTTTCAAATAATCTATAAATTCTATAATTCTGGTGGCCTGATCTTTGCGTCACTGTTTAGAAGAAATCAAAGGCTTTTTAGACCTCAAAATTTAAACAAAGATAGAATTCAATATTCCTAAGAGTAAGAGCATGGCAGAGTCGGATTTTCATGATTTTGAACATAACTCTTTCCAAATGTATCCCCGATGTATCAGCAAGAGTCCGCACCCCTTGCAGATGTACCGCCAGTGTATCAGCAATGATGGGTTGCCTCAGTTTTTGTATCAAGTGTCTTAAGTTTAGACTTTATTTACGATAATTTGGTGTATTCTCAGGTCATCCAGCATCTTGTGGTTTCAAAGGCTTATTTATCTATTGTATATACACATCACTATCTCGAGAAATATATTGGCAAACAAAGACTGTAAGAAAGAGTGTGTGTGTGTGTAGGGGGAGTGGGGGGGAGGGGGGCAGCTACTTATATATCTTTATATATATATGTTGTAACGCTTTTATCCTCCCAATGGTGGACTTCTGTCAGTTGTTTATTGGGAATCAAAGTTACGTTTGCATCGCTTTGCCTTTGTTAAAACAAAATTTTCCACTTTACAACTTTAGACATGTCAGTTTTTCAAATGGAAGCAAGTTCTGCTTCTCTATGCTGGACAGATTTCTATCTTGTTCTCTCATGCTTTTTACCTTCACGAGTTCAACCATACAACTAAAAACTGGGTTGTTGTTTTTTATTACAGGTTCTCACTGTATTTGACCCAAACAAAGTCTACATTCTTGGTGCCTATTCTAATAAGAAGACAATCAAGCATCCTTGTATCATGAAAGCAAGCAAGCAGAATATCCGTGCCATGAGACTTCCTATTGATGAGCATGTCAGGTTAGTTTTTGTACCTCTTCAAATTTAAGTTTTCTGTTTGTAGTCTCAGTTGAAATAGGAACGCTCATGTTCTTCTTGTAGGAATAATGTACTGTATAACACGGATAGGTCGAACACAGAAGACTCGAAATCTCGCATCCATTAAATTGTGCCTGCCATCCCTTTTTTTTTCTTCTTTATCTTTGTTCCTTCAAACTACGGATCCCTCAAACTATTTAGGCCAGTCCTGACAAATTCGAGCTATCCATGTTATACTGTAGTTATAATTATAGTTTTCTTTGAGAAAATATGTGTGCACTTTTGCTTGCTGTGGCACAGAAATGGTTTTCAATCATGTTTATTGTGTAATTTTATTAGGTTGGCATTATCAATTATTAGATCAAAAGTAATGATATGACTACATATCAAGGTATGATGGATTTTGAGTTTAATTTATGGCGGCTTTTATATTATAACTTATAAGATTCCTAAAGTACTGTGATAAAGAAAGATTTGTCATTTTTTACTTTCTTATGGTCTAAGTACATTTCATGCTATTCTAACAGTGAATTTTCCTTCTTTTTTTTTTTTCTTTTTTTGAGGGATAAGGATATCACTTTGTCTGTATAAGTAGTGTTTTCGTGTTATGAATAAAAATTTTGTTTTCATCTCTGCTTTTGTCATTTTGAACAAGCTGCTACATCTGTCATGAACTAGCAAACATGCTCCTGGTATAGCTAAATACGCACATAACAAACAGATTTGTAGGTCTCACATTTTACAAATATATACATGCTGTATATTCTTTGATATTGAAACACATACATAGCGAAATTTGTACATAACAAAAAGATCCCCGCATCCCACTGATTTCGCAATGTGCATGCTAGACTGTATTGCTATCTTTCTTTTTTACGTATGCTCATAGATGGCCTGGTGGTCCCAAGAATCTCCTTCTTCAAGACATCCTGAAAGTTTTACTGGCTGTGAAAGACGGGGCGTCATGGAAGGAAGCTCTGAAACCCATAATATTACACGGTGCTTCAATACCACACTGGATACGAGAAGCCAAGAAGAAGGACAAATTACCTTCAAAGACCCGGCCACAACCTGTGAAAAAAAATAGAAATAAAGTATGATAGATACAACTGCAATGTGTTCTTATTTCTCACATGAAAGTAGTATTTTAGTCTTTATAGTTTTAGTAGGAGTTTTACAGCACTGTCAACACAATAAGATCATTTAAGTGCTGAAGATTGGACATGTTACAAGAGAGTGACAAGCACACACACACAAAAAGGTGGAGAGTATTATAGTCTTTATTCAGTTGCTAGTATTTTTTTTTTTATGTTGCTTTTTATTTCCTCCTTTCTTCTGCTTTAGCCAACTGCAACTGTGAAGTATTCAGAAAAGGAAAATTGATATTACTGACATGGCTATTTTTGCCTATCCAAATGTGGTTGCTTTTAAAGACAAACGGGCTAACCCAGATTTCGGGGGTTTCTG